TTTGATGTGTGCGTCTCATCGTTGCGTATGGCTATTGCTAATCTTCTTTGTAGTTTGTATCATTCGGTTCTCTTGTCTTCGTGCTTCTCGTCTTTCTTGTCTTGTCTTCTTCCTTCTTTTTTTTTTTTGGGTGAGATTCTTCCTCCTTTTCTGTATCACATGCGAAGTACGTCTTATATTTAGCTGTCGTTCCCTATTCCAACTGAAAAGCCAAACAAAGAAAAAACAATCCATCCTTTCAAACTTTGTTTTTATATATTCACGACTTGCACATGTTAACATTAAATTCCTACCATCTCAAGGTGATTTCTATCATCGACTAACAATATTACATTTTAATAAGAAATTTCTTGATGCTCTCCACTGCTACTCAAGTAATATTGAGTTAGATTAGAATAATCAAGGATACAAAATTTGGGAATTTCAGGGAATTGAATTAGAGTTTAATATATAATTAACTATTCTAATAAATTAATTGAGCTAAACACGCCTAAGAGATATATAGGGATTCAAAAGAGGAATTGATTTTTAGATGATAGCCTTTAAGAAAAGAAAGTAGATTTAGAGTAGTTTTAAAGTAATTTTAAAATAATTCGTTTAGTAATAATTGATAGATACTTACGTGTATGATCTTTGTAAATTAAAGTCTCATTAAGAACTTATCTTTGGATGTTTGGATGGGGATAACTCGTTTATCATTGTATGTAAGCTGAAGAGTAATAGATAATTTTGAATTTTCTTTCATATATTTGTAAACTATGTATAATGTACTATTGTTCACTATCTTACAATAATGGTGCTAGTGGTAATCGCGCACATGGAGTTTTTTTTTCCCCCCTCCATGTCCCAGCTTGTTTCCAATCTGTTCCTTGGTGAGATTGATAAAATTAGAATGATATAAATAAATTGGTTTCAATTGGTAGGGTTAATAAATTATAAAGAAAATAGTTTATCCGGTTCTAAATATGAGGTTGATTTTATAATTTCTGCGTTTGGTCCTAAATATAATGTCATAATCCCTCTTGCCTCCCAACTAATTTTCTTTTCTCTTATTCTTTTATTTATTGAGGAATTTTCACCTCCACACATTGGATTTAATTTTTTTTTTTTTGGGTAATCAAAGACAAAATGACATTCATAGCAAATAAGATTTTTACAAGTTACAAATACTTAACAATCCTATTTTAGCAAAATTAAAGTTAAGAAAATAAGATTTAGAAATAACATCGATATTAAAGGACACATGGGATTTTAATAATTCAATGACAATATGATTTTTCAAAGTGCCAAAAACTCTCCATGTATTGATTAAAATAGCAAGTGGATAAGATGAATAGAAAACTTTCTACATTGGTCAGAGTATGGATAAGGTTAGACAAGGCTGTGCTCCTATTTGCTCATCCCCTTCCCCTCGTGACCCTATCATAAAGATCTCACGTCTCATCTTGCGTGAACATGACAAATTATCAATGAAAAAAAAAACGGATCGGACCGGCCGGTTCGACCGGAAAACGATGAACCGGCCTCTGGTCCGGTCTGGTTTAGATCCAAAACCGGTCAATGATCAGACCGGTATAAAACCAGTCTAACCGTTAAAAAACCGGGAAAACCGGGTAACCCAGGTTACCGGTTTAATTTTTTTTAAGCTTCCCCTTTCGAGAACGGTGTCGTTTTATTTATTGAGAAAGAAACAAAAAAAATTAAAACAGCAACGGGCAGCCTCTCGTAATCCTCCGATAGTTCATTTCTTCTCTTTCCCTCCCCCAAATCTGAAATCAAAAATCCCTAGCCTCTCATCTTCAATCCTCAATCTTCACTGCGTCGCGTCGTCGCCCAAATCACTGAATTGCTAGCCATGGTTTTCTTCTCTGTCATGGTAGCGGGCTGCCCAAATCCTTCAATCGCTGTTCTATTTTTCTCTTCTTCTTTGATCTCGTCGCAAGTCGTCGCACGTCGCCTTGTTCTTCAAGGTCGCAGATTTGCAGTTCTTCTTTTTTTTGCTTCTATGCTGTTGTTTTCATTCAGTTAAATATGCTCTGGGTCACTGGAATTACTATTATGTAGGATCTGAAACACTTTGAGTATAATAGAATCAAAAGGCATTCACACTTAGAGTGCAGCGTGGGATCTAAAACACCAAATGTAGCTCAATCGATTACTGGAAGTTGTGGGTCTCTGCTGTGTTCTTTTCTTTTCTTTTTTCTTTTTTATTTTTTCTGCAATCACAAGTCTCTACCTAATCAGAATTACCCATATATTCAATACATCGATACTCTATATTTAAGTTCTTAGATTTTTATAATTGAAGATAACTAAAGGTAAAATTTTCATGAATTAATCTGAGATAATATTTTATTTATTTGTGTCGGTTGAGCTGTATGCCTTCATAAATGTTAAACCAATTTCTTGAATCACAAGGTCTATAGATGATGGCCAGAAAATTCGAAAAGCTTTCTAAAATAGAATAAATTATTTCATCAAATAAATAATTAATCAATAGAAGCTTCCCTGCTTGGAATTAATTAGATCCCAAAGCTTCTTGGATTCTATTTATTAATGTTAATTTGGTACAATTAAACATTTAAATTATTTCTGTAGTTTTTTGTATTTTATTGAGTGATTATTATTTATGAATGTTATTTTATTTTATTATTGCCAATTAAATTGTATTATTTTAATATGACCGGTCCGACCATTAACCCTTAACCCACTATCTCGACCGGTTCAATATCCGGTTCGGTTTTTTGTTCCTTGCAAATTATGCATCTTGAAGTTTAATGATTTTAGCTGCAAAAAAATAAGGTAGCCAAAATAAACAACTAATGAAGAAAATCACTCGAAGCCACCATGAAAGATCACCAAATTAACTTCTGAGAAATCTTAGTCTTCAATAAGCTCGATCTTGATGCCTCTGATTGTGACTCGCCCTTTCCCATACCTCGGAACCAAAGTCACACGAACACTATCATCATCCTCGGCTTCTAAATCCTCCAATAAATCAGTCAACCCCAACCTTAAATTTGTAATAATCTTCTTGTTCTTGTGCTTGTGCGTGTGAGGCACGCTCACAAAACTTCCTGCGAACTCTGAGTTATCTGGCCTTATAACCTTATCATCTTCGTCATTAACGAACACATCAAACTTCACTGCTTCGTTTCTCTCAAACTCAATCCCTTCAATCACCAACACCTCCTCCTTCTCTTCCTTCTCCTTCTTGCTCCTTCCCTTCTTCGGCCTCTTCACATCTGTGCTCACTGTAGACTCCAGAACTACAGGGAACTTGACAGATTTTGAAGAAGTCTCAGCAGCTTGTGCAGCTCCAACACCAAAAAGTTGAGGAACCAGGGCTACCTTTTGAGCTTTCGAAGACCTGCGACGAGGTGTGGGCTTTGATTTCAGCCATGGAAGTTCGACGTCTTGATAGACGTACCCCAGTTTTCTTGCGTCGAGGCAATCTTTGACTTTGACGCGTACGAGGTTCTTGTTCTCGTCGTAGAAGAGGAAGCCGGAGTTCAACCAGTCTGGGTCGGAGATGTCTCTTCTCTTGCCTCCTAGGGTTTTCCATATGCTCCACATTCTGTCGACGTTGGAATGATGGCCGAAGAAAATGGGGTCTCTGCCAGCTGAGTAAAAGGTTCCCATGTCTTCGTAGTTAGGCTGGGTGTTGTCGCCGGTCCATAAGTGGACCGGACCGTGAGGGATGTTCTCGATAGAGCCGGCGCCGGGGTCCGGCTCATCTCCGGCTCGGTAGGCGCTTCCGAAGAATAGTCTGTATATTAAAATAAAGATAAGCATGAGAAATATGAAAAATATAGTATATGGGAAAGAGAAGAGAGACCTTTCATATATACCAAAGAAGGGCGTTGAAAATCAAAACCATTGGATGCAGAACTGGGCGCATGTATTTAGAAGAAAACTGTATTTTTTTTTTTGGTGACAGAAAACTGTAATTTTTAAAGTATTCACTTCAGGCCTTCGATATAGTGACCCACCTACTTTCTAGAGTATTATTTATTCAATTAGTGGGCACAGTGGTGATTTTTTCCTATTTGGACCGATTTATTATTCCAATAAGAGGGCAATATCGATTATCTCTATTTCACTGCTATTTGTATAATTAAATGTATTAAGAGAAGAGTCAGTATACAAGACATTAATACATTTAAGCGATTTTAGAGTTAAATAACCAAAAATATATTTTCTAAAGTTAAAAGACCTAGTTAAAAGTTTGTAAAATTAAAGGAACAAATACATACTTTAACCAAAAGATTATATTAATAATACATGCATTGTTATCATTGAAAAAGGTTTTCCAAAATTTAAATTACTTAAAATTTATTTATGATCAACTTTACCTAACATATTACATGACTGCTGGATGGATTAAGCTTATTTTTTATTGGGTATGAATGATATAAAAATTGACGAATTATACTTATACTAGGTCGTTCCCCAACAATTTCACCTAATATAACAAGACCTTGGGATTCCCTCGCATGGCCATGATTTCAAAATATCCTCTATTTAACACTTTTGTTAAATGTAAAAAATATATTTAGCATGATTGAAATATTTTTATTTAAAAAGTAAATAAATGGGACTAAAGTCAACTAGGTGAGATCTACGCATATATTTTGAAACGTTTGAAAAATTAAATTAAATTTTACGTACATAAGTGAGAAAACTTACGTTGGAGTTTTAGCGTTGGAGACCATTTGCCTATACATGATGGTGAGATTACTGGAGATGACGCTACGACCTTTGTTACTGTTCTGAGACGTGGAACTGTCGTCGTCGATGTTAAAGTCAAGGTCCGTGATTGCGGGAGGTTGGTGTTTCGCACTACGAAGAGCATCATACAGAGACGACGCAGAATCTGTGTAAATCGCCGGAATCTGCATTCCGGGGGGAGAATCCCAATTCCAGAACGGCAACGAAAAACTGGGATCTTCGATCAGGCTCCCTAAGATTCTCTCGTGGAAATAAAGGTACCAACGATGAAAGGGAAAGAAAAGCCAAGAATTATGGACTTGGAGATCGAGGTCAGGGAACCCTGCTTGGTGATACGCACCGTCGCAGTATGCGCAGTGAATGTTAGCTTGTTGTGTGAAGCTACGTGGGTCATCGGAAGGTAAAGCTTTCATGAGCTCAATGGCTTTCTTGTACTTTGCTAATTGGTCGGCGGTGACCAAGTGAGCCGCCGGTCTAACCCTAAGGGGTTTAGAGGGTGGAAACTTGAAGTCTATGATTTTTGAGGAAACTGGCGGGCAACAGTTGGTTGGTTCAACGCCAGATGGTAGATCCGGCGGGCCACAGGTGGTTAGGTCTGGTGGGGCCACCGGAGCAGCGAAGGCAAAAGGGTTGGCGGCGGCAGCACCGTAAAGCCCTCCAATGGCGCCAAGGACAACATTTCTCCGATTAGCTAGAACATGAAATAGTTGTTGATCTTCTTGGGAGATATTTTTAGGGTTTTCAGAGTCACTATGCATGGCTTTGCACGAGAATTTGGAAACATGATAAGGTTTTGGTTTGGTATTTCTGGAGGATCGTGGATGAGAGAATGGAGACAAGGAAGAAGTAGAAGAAGAGGCATTAATGGAGGACAAAAAGGAAAGAGATGACGATGAGATAGAGGCCATGTTTTGGCAAGTTGGTTTGAGATGACAAGTGCTGGTATCGAAGGCTTTTATAATGAGATTGAGAAGACCAGTCCAAATTAAAAACATAGAGGCACAGTTTCTTTTTTTTTTTTTTTGACCAGCAAGAGGCACAGTTTCTATTCTCACAGTTTTCGTAGGGGTGATGATATCAAAGAAGAAATTTGTTTGAAAGCCTTTAATGTTGACATTTCAGAGCTGCATTTATTGCGAGTATAACTTGCTAATTAGTATAAATGAACTATTGTGCACATGATTAATTCTCCAGAATTTAATAAGCGAAAATGTTTCCACTTCTCTGAATTTTCTTCAATGACCAGCTGCTTTTATTGGACAATTTCTAGCTTCCATCTTACAAATTTCGATTTTTTTTTTTTTGTATTTGAAGTAGACAATTATCAGTCCAGAAGAAGAAAAAGAAGAAGACAGTTCTGTTCTCGAGGAGGTAATTTTTCTCCGTTTCTTGCGTATGAAACTTGATTACTGTTTCTTTCGTTTCTTTGTGACACAAGCTCCCTTCTTTATTGTAAAATATGTCTAATTATTTACCTCACCATGACCAATAAAACTTTAATTGTTCAAATATAGAAAAAAATTATATTCACTCATATTTAAAACTATGTATTATATATATATATATATTCAACTAGAGAAAAGTTACATATGGGTAAAAAAATTGCTTCAGACTTCACTAAATACAGACAATCTTAAAAAAATATAATCGATACCCATGACAAGGATCATTTATTTCTTTATAGAATATGCCCTCATGATAAAAACTGATGCGAGAAATGCTATCTTTTCAATTTTTAAAATTGCCATGTGCTTTATGCAAAGTTATATATAAATAAGTTTAATAAAAAAATTTCGAAGAAAATTGCATCGTGTGTATTGCCCGTAATTTGATAAAGTTAAAGTTCCATAGTTGTAAGAATTACAGTAATATATAGTTTGATTGCGGAGAAAATCATGTTATAGGTGCCCATATTTTTCCGTAATTATTAATTTGATACTTATATGTTTTTATCTCTTAATTAAATCTTGTAAATTTGCTCAGTTAGCACCGTCAACCACAGTAACTTTGATCTGTTACAGTACTGTTAACTCTTATATAAGAGCTAATGTGTCAATGCTACAAAATTAAAGAATTTAATTAAAAAAAAAGTAGAGGTACTAAATTAAAATTTAAAAGAATATATATAGAGAGGTTCTTATAAAATGGGTCCCGTTAACCATATTTTTGTCTGTGAATGTGATTACTACCTATTTTTCAGATTCTTTAAGCTAAGTTTTTAAATATTGCCCCCGAACCTATGAGATTTTTTTAATATCTACAAATGATATCTTATAATTAAGATCGGAGGTAGTATATTTTTTACTCCCTCTGATCCCAATGTATGTTATCAAATTGTTGTCGTGCTCAACACTGCTGGGGCTGCCCCTTACCAAGAACATGAAAAAAAACCGAAAACTAAATACGCTCTCCCATGCTAATGAAAAGCTATATAATTAATTTATAGATATTAAAACATTAATTAAATTAGTTATTTATAATAGATGTGTGATGATTTTTTTTTTAAAAAAAACCCTCTGTGATTATTATTCCTATAGATAAAACTCCCTTTAATATATATATATAATAGGTATGGATGGTTCAAAAAAATTGTATAAATTGAGAAATAAAATGAATTAAGATTTACTATTTAAGAGCAAAACAAACCATTCAAAAGCTATTAGACTATTTTGTAATAAAACATGTTTTAGTAATTTCGTGTAGTTTTAGAATTGAATGAAGAGGGTCATGGTTAGATATTGGACCAGCCAAAAGAGAAATCATTACCTATGGAACTAGTAGCCAGTTAACTAATTTGATGAGATTAAGGAAGTAAATTGAGTTAGTTATTTATTCTAAATAGGTGTTGTCTTTTCTAAAATATCCTTACTAATAAAGTGTATTGACCAGAACTGTCATTGTTAGAAGGACTATTTTGAAAAAAAATGTATAAATATGAAAAACAAAGTGGATTGGGATCCTATATTTAGGATCAAAATAAAAATCAAATAGGATTTTATATTAAGGATGGGAGGTAGTATATAAATAAAATGAGAGAGAAGGATAACAAGAAGATTTAGTTCTCTCAGAAAATACTTCATAAAGGAATATTTACCGGGCGATGAGGATGAGAGCGAAACATCTAAGTATGCGATCGTAAAGCCCGCATAAAAAATAGGGAGAATTAGGGAGAGGGACCTATTGCGGATAATATTTATTGAAAAGGATTTTAAAAATTGTAATTATTTAGAAAGACCAACTACTCAAATATGAGTTTAAAAATATTAACTTGCCCCTAACTAAATCTCCTATATTCTCTCTCACCACATCCTATTATTATCCTATTTTTGAATGAAATAATTGAGAATTCAAACTGATCCAAATTACAAAGTAAGGAAGCAATTCTAATTAGTAAAATTAAATTAATAATCAACACTAAGTAACTTATTTGTCCATCATTTTTAATTAACAAAACTCTTTTTTTGGCTTTTTAGAATAATGAGCCTATTAAAGTTACGAAGTTTAATGGTTATTTATTTATTTATTTCATACTATTATTCTATTTCATGCCTTATAACCTTAATTTAGGATTAAATTGAATCCTGTTAAATAATACAATTACAAATTTTAAAAATAATATAATAATAAACAATATATAACTTATTCATAACTTATAAAAGTAAAGAAATATGTAGCAATTTTTTCATGAATGTTACCACTTCATATATTCACATCATGTGGTAAATGTTGCCATGTCATGTATGTTTTTCTTGGACTTTGATATGATTAATCATTAAAATAATGCAAGTTCCTTTTTTTTTTTATGTACGAAATTGAACACTAAGAATTTATTAAGAAAAAAATAGAGGGAAAAAACACAATGAACATTGAACCCAAATAAAAAGATCTTTTATTTAATATTTGATATTTGGCGTTATTAGGTCAAATTTTTATCAATCCTAAATAGAGATAGCTCTTTCAATTTTATTAGTCTATGGCATTTAAATTATTGTAGCCACTTTTATTATGATAAATACCCGTTGACATAATGACTTCTATATGTTACTTTTATTTGAAATTTGTAATTTTGATAACCAATATGATTCAATTTATTTTTAAGGGTTGGGTTTATAAATTTATAATGTCCTGAAAAAAAATAAGAGTACTTTGGTAGAAAAAAATAAAATAAGAGTATGAAATAAATAAATAAAAATATGGTTGAATGTTATGACTTTGGTAAGTTCCTCATTAAGAAAGCCCAAATAAAGTTTTATTGGTTAAAAATGATGGAAAAATAAATTAAGTAGTGTTGGTCATTAATTTATTTGATTAATTAGAATTGGTTCTGATTTTGTAATTCTAATTAGTTTAATTAATACAGATAAGTCTTTATTATTTTATTTAAAAAAGGATAATTATAGGATGTGGTGAGATAGAACGTGGGGAATTTATTTAGGGGCAAAACTGTATTTTTAAATTTACGTTTTACTATTTGGTCCTTCTAAACAATTATAGTTTTTAAGATCCTTTCTAATAAATATTATACATATTAGGTCCTTCTCTCTAATTCTCCCTAAAAAATATATGTGGGACCCGCTACTGTCCTAAATACTGGTCAGAGTAATGATAAGGTGAATAGGAATCTTTCCTCGTACGGCAGTCGGAGCAGATAAGATGAGATAAGGCTGTGCTACTATTCCCTCATTCCCTTCCCGTCGTGACCTTTTCATAAAAGATCTCGTGTGCAATTTTATGTGGACATTAAAAAAACAATTCCAAAAAAAAGCCTCTAAATACCAAATCAGGAATATTGTTGCTTTAATTGTAGTCAATTGTTATTAAAATATAGTGAATAAGACTGATTTAAAATTTTAAAATTCTAAGATGTACACTACGTTATTAGAGATAAATAACTAATTTAATTTAAATATAGTAAATAAATTAATTAAGTTGGTTATTTGTAATAAATGTATATTAACATTATTCTTCGGTGGAAACTCATTACAATCAATATAGATATTTAGGGTGCAGAGAAGCCATGAATATCTCAGGAATTTTCTTGCTTGCAATTGTGTGTTCCTGTATGGAATATCAAGAAACTTAATAATGAATGGACATCATCTAGCTTGTTGCAAAAAATCTATAGAATTTAAGTTCCGACAAAGAAGGGACCAAAGATCCAAATATTGCACTAGTTATCTGTATCAATACTTACCAAATATTGCATGGGACCAAATGGAGGTATTTATAACATTTGCATTTACGACGACCAAAATACAACTCATCAAAATATGTATGTATTGAACGTGTACATATTTTCGTTTTTGACAAAAGCGGCTGTCTCTTTTCAAATTGTCTTGTTTAAATTTTTCTTTCATCAAAATATATAAATTGTTCAATTTTTGTCCCCATACTAGATGGTCACGGGTCTCGCGAATAGCGTGGAGAATTGAGACGGGCAACTTTATGAGAATTTTATATTATAATTTCACATTAATTAATACAATGGAATCAATTAAAATTATTTATTTCTTATAGAATATCACAATGACTTACAATAAAAGTCATTAGTTATAGAAATTTGGTTAATTTAGTTAGGAATTTTTTAAGTTAGGGAGGGATATATACTATGTGGAAAAAAAAATTGATATTTTAAATAATACCTGCTATTAGAAATCCTAGCATATTAATATTTGTATAGCGATATAGAAAACCTGATGCAGCCTTACGACTCGGGCATTCTTCCTGCTAATTTTTTGGTTCTGGCATATACATTTGTATGACACGTTCTGGCATACTTCTTTATTTAAATATATATTCCCTTTTCAACTATGTATATGAGGAGAGAGGAGGAGAGAGTCCACAAACAATTTGTCTCACGCCTACAGGAGAAAACATGTTTTGTTATTAATACATGTATGCTAAACACATGAACAACAATCCTTCTTCTAGGCCACAATGGAAGGTTGTTTAATTCGCTTGGTCAACACACACACACACACATTACATTATGAGGGTTAAATAACTAATTTAATTTAAAGATATTAAATAAATTAGTTAAATTGGTTATTTGTAATAAATGTGTATTAAAATTATCCCTTAGCTGGAATCCATTACAATCAATATAGGGTGTGTTTAGATTAACAGTGGTAAAACTGACTTTTATTCTAACTGATTTTTATAAACTTCAGTCAAAATAAAAGTTAGTTAGTATAATATGATTTATGTTTATATTGGTGTTTATAAGAAATCAGTTGAAAAAACTGAAATTTGTTTGTATGATTAATAGAAAAATAGGTTTAGGTGTAAAATGCCTAAAATGATATGAATTTTGTTGAATAGTAGTATTTTATATTATATGATATTAATCTGATAATTATTTAGCTTTCTTAATCTTTTCAAATTAATCTATTGGGATTTTATATTAAAGAGCAAAAGTAGTATATCGTATGTATACAATTTGATAAATTCAAGAAAAATAATAAATTGCTTGCGTCTCGCATGGCCTGCTGGCGTGGAGGAATGGTCTCAGCGGCAAGGTCACATGTTCAAGACACAGCACGAGAGAGAGCCTGAGAGAATCATAAGAGACAAATAATAAATTAAAATAATTAAATCTTATTAGGTAATTTTTTCTTCTTAGAAGTACAAAAAAATCAAATTATTAGATCAAGATAGGACCCATTTAAATACTTTTATCTTTCTTCTCATTCTTGTTTTGTCTTTTCTCATTGCCAATGGTAAAAGCTCAAATTTTCAGCTTTTCTTGTATCTGACTTTTTCTTCAAAAGCCCATTTGAGAAAAAGTTGATCCAAACAAGCGTCATTGTAAAAATAAGCCACTAACCATAGTTGCATATTTTTCCATGTACGTTTGGAGTTGCAGACAGCAATCCAAACAGACATAGATATTTTAAAATATATATAAATTTGGAAAACAAAATGGATTGAAATATTGTATTTAGGACTATCTCCTGTCCTTAATATAAGAGCTTATTTGACATTTATTTTGGTCTTAAATATAAAATCTCAATCTACTTTATCTCTCATATCTATCCTTTTTTTCTCTAAGGTAGTCTTTATAATAATAGTAATTCTAACTAATATACTTAATTAGCAAATATATTTTAGAAAAATAATACATATTTATTATAAATAACTAACTTAACTAGTTTTCTTAATCTATTTAAATTAGTCAACTAATTCTTATATTAATAATCAAAGGCAGTATTAAATATAGGAGGTTCTGTATTATATGAAAATGCTTCACAACTACATCATCACTAGCTAGCTAGCATGTGACTCAGCGCATATCCAACGGTTTTATAGTTGTTTCCGGCGTCTTTCATAAATTTTCATTGTCCCTAATTAATTAATTCCAATTCTTAATTGCACCAGCACAATGTCATGAGGGGGGGAAAAAACAGAGAATACTGGGATGAGCGGATTGCTTCTAAAACAGTTTTCTCTTTTGACCAAAACTTCTGAAAAAGTTAGAACCACAAGCATTTGCAATCACCTAATTTGTTCTGATATATATAAGTCCTATACAATTTAACAACTAATACATATTACAATTATATATATACGTACATAAACATTTCGTTAACCATTTTCATTTAAATTCATGATATATATATATAATTTTAGGTTATTATTAAAATGAGTTTTTTGTATTTCTGAAAATGTATAAATGAGGTAATGTCTTAATACTAGCTCTTCTCTTAATACGTTCAATTATACAATAAATTATTAGGACCGCCAAGAAGTTAAATAGCAATCAAATAAAATAAAATAATCAACTTTGCCCTCCTCTTAGAATTAGGACCAACAAGGAGTAGTAAATGCATACAGGAATACAACTGCCCACTAATTGAATAAATACTACCATATATAAAAAGTATGGTGGACCACTATTTGAAGGATTAAAATGAATACTTTAAAAATTACAGTTTCATTCTAAATACATATACGTATGCTTTATCTACATGTAATGGTTTTTATTTTTAAAGGATGAATAGTTGCAAAGTAATTATTTTGAGGCTTAAGGCATTGGCCATAATGGCCTCAAAGCCAGCTGCCACAGCCTTGCTGTACTCTTCTAAAATTTCTAATTTTAAAACTATGTTCTTCCCGTGATTACATAACAGCTGTACTACTTTTTTCTCAAATTAACACTATTAATATTTTTCTAATAATAATTAAGTGGAAGAGAGAAAGGGATGGAATTACGGAAGATACTTAGAATATTTTGAAAAAATATATCATATTAACTAATTTAACTAATATCCTTAATATATTCAAATTAGTTAATTAGATCTTATATTAAATATCAGAGGAGTAACAATTATGATTAATATATAATATATTGATCCATCATGAAATAAAAGAGGGCTGACAAACTAAAACACTGAAAAAATTCATTATTTCTTCGATATAACATTTATCCTTCATCTTATTTCTTAAATGCATCCAATAGTCCAATACCCTAGTCTTTTTAGTTGTACAATTTTATTTATGATTATTTTTTCTCTTCAGTCCCATGCCTATTCAAACTCTTGACTTTATAGACAAGAGCATGGCACTCTAACCAGCAAGTCACAAGTCTGCAAGGCATTAATGATTTTTTTTTTTACGTGAGAAATAAGATCAAAAGTAAAATTTTACACAAAAACAGAAAAAAACTATCATGGGTAAAATTACACAAAAAAAAAAATTACGAGTGAAACTGCACCTTTAAAAAGATGAGGATGATAGATGTGCATAAGAAATAAGATCAGAGATAAAATTACATATTTACCTTACCATAATGTGCCATATTATATATTTTCGTGTCAATGATAATAGCAAACCTTGAAAACGTAAATTATTGAACTCTCCACACCAAGTTAAATAATGCTAATGTATAAGCACAAAATTCGGCATACAATATAGTGCTACGGCATAATTGAAAACTTTTACATCTATATAAATGTCTTATCCTTTATATGGATAGGAAGAAAATTAAAGAAAAAAATAGTGAAAGGAATAATTGTTAAAAATATTAAAATTTCAAAGTCACGTTTTCTTTCATAATATTCTCCTCTCAATTTTCCTTCCACTTTTCCATTTGTCCAAACCAAAATGTTGATGCACTTTCCTCTTTCGCTGATCCAACGAATTCAACCAGAGGATGCATTCTATAAAATGAAAATCCAAATTATTATATATAAAAATATATATTCAATTGTGTGGGCCCCAAGATCGGGTCCATATACTTGTTTACTCTTTACACAACATATAAAACTTTTAGAACTAGAAAATGAGATCTCGTTCCTGGAAAAAAAGGGTAGAAAACGCTGCAAGGAAATTTGATACGTTCCAGTTAACTTTGATTTTGGAGGAATAACAATTTGGGACCAATAGATAAATTAAATTTAATTTTAGGATTAAGACATTGCCAGATTGTAATTTTAGAAATGAGTGAGAACTGAAAATTTCAAAAAATTATATATTCACATAATAATTTTAATAAGATGACTTAGATGAAGGATAAAAGAAATACTCTCTCTGGTCTATAAATAAAATGAGAGAGAAGTGTAATAGGACTTTTCAGTTATTTTTTTGGACTTGATTGTAATTTCAAAAAATATATATATGTGGGACCTGCTATATGTGATCTGTACTCTAAATGTTGGTCAGAGTAAAGATGAGATGAAGAGAAACATTTCCTATAATAATATATTAGTCAGTCAGAGTATAGATAAGATCAGATATAAGGCTGTGTGAGGATCCCCTCGTTCCCTTCTCATCACGTTTTCATAAAAGATCTCACGTCCCATTTTATGTGGACGTAAAAGTTAGAAAAAATCCTTAAAAAATTTCTTGAATTTCAAAATCTTGGATCAGCTATTACTATAAAAATATAAAAATTTGTTGTTATTTATTTTTTCAAGTGTAGTCAATTACTAACAAAATATATTAAATAAGACTAACTACCGGCAAAAAAAAACTAATTTGGAATTTTGAAAGTCAAAAGATATTTTTTTGGGATTTTCCATTTAAAATTCTACATCTTGAAGTTTAATGATTTAATAAACAATTGATGGGAAAAAAAACTAATTGAAGTCATCATGAAAGGGAACCAGTTTTCAGTGCTCATTACAATGATGAGCATCATGATACTCGTCACTATGGTGAACTCTAAACCATTCATAAATGGTTTTAATGGTGTAGATTTAAAACTTTTAACTAGTACTTTTTAAATAAAAAATTTATTGTTAAGAAATTTATGGTTAAGTTATTACCCTTATTTTGGATTATATACCTATTAATAAAAGGAAAATATTTTTCAAAAAATATTAAATATTAAATATTGGCCGTCCATATTAAATTTAAATGGTTGAGATTTGATGAGCATTATGATCTTCAAAACTGCAATGAGTACTAAAACGGTCACTGGATTAACTTCTGAGAAATTCAGTCTGCAATAAGCTCAATCTTATTGATGCCTCTGATTGGATATGCGTATCTGGGGATACATATGATACCGAAATGTGCATAGTTGTGCAATCTCTGCCCCTAGAGTTGTTGGCTGAATAAGTTGTTTAGATCTTCCACCATAAATTATGAAAAAACATAAGCAGTAAATTATCACAAGTCGACGTCAAAACTAAATTTAAAAGGTAATTGTGAAATCCTACAGCTAGACTAGACACGTTATCTATCAAACATTTGGTAGGATGTATAAATATATATATATATATATATATATATATTAGACAATTCAACTTTTTGATACCTTTTACTTGAGTCGTTGCTGAAGTTCTTCTCGGTAATACTTTTTTTATTTATTTAGGAAAAAAATAAGGTCGTTTACTATATGGGAACAAATTAAACACTTGACATGTCAGCACACCAAGATGCAGAAGAAAGAACACATACATACACACACATATAAAATTACATATATTATATTATCACTGAGTGATGCATAATCAGGATATTATTCATGATCATAACATCAAATGTTAACACATAACTACCCCACATAACCAGAATTACTCCTCTACGCACGTACTGTGCATAGTACAAGGGCCATGTATAGAATGTCACAATCTTGATGCGTTCAATGGTAATTCGTCCCTTCCCAGCCTGAGGCACAAGAGTGACACCCGCGCGCTTGTCATCGTCAGCACCCAAATCCCCCGGTAACTCTGTAATCCCAAGTCTCAGATTAGTCTTCATGGTCAGCCTCTTGTGATGATGTGGCACGCTCACAAAACTCCCCGCGAACTGAGTAGTCATGAGCCCACCGGGCCCGCTGAATTCACCTTCCGGGTGCACGTGCACATCAAACTTCACCAGGGAATCCCTCGAAGAAAACTCAATACCTTCAATCACTAACACCTCCTCCGTCATTTCCTTCTCCTTCTTCTCTCTTTCCACAGTGATACTCACCTGCGAGCGTTAAACCAGAGGGAAATTTACCTTGCCCTCCTCGAATTTTTTCCCCAGTTCTCCCAAGAACTTGCTCCCGGAACGTCTAGGCTTGGCATCTTTCCACGGCATTTCAACATCCTGGTACGTGTAGCCTAGCTTTCTGATGTCGAGGCAATCCTTGATTTTGACGCGTACGACGTCCTTCTCTCGTCGTAGAATAAGAACCCAGATTCCAACCAATCTGGGTCTCTGGTGTCCCTTCTTTTTCCGCCCGGCAGAGTCTTCCAGATCTTCCACATCCGATCGACATTTGCATGATGGGAATAGAAGATGGGGTCTCTTGCGGCAGAATAGAAGCTTCCCGTGTCCTCACCGTTGGGCTGGCAGTTATCACCGGTCCAATTATGCATCGTGTTGTGAGGAATGAGCTCTATGGTGCCGGCTCCATTATCGGGATCGCTCCGTCCGCACCAAAGAATAGGGAAGGACGTTTTGCACCGCTTACCATTTGTTTAATTCCGCTCACCATTTGGGATCACTCATGCTCTTCTCGTCATTTTACTTATTTAGACGATCTTTTCGTCCTTTTCAATTTCAGTGGGTAATTTTCTGGTTTTTTTTTTCTTTCCCTTTTCAGTCGCATGCCTATTCAAACTAGTGACTTTATAGACAAGAGCATGACACCCTAAGCAGCAAGTCACAAGCCTGCAAGGCATTGATGATTTGTTTTCACATGAGAAATAAGATTAAAGATAAAATTGCACGAAAAGACAGAAAAGAATATCATGGGTAAAATTACACACACAAAAATTATGGGTGAAACTGCACCATTAAAAAGATCAGGATGATAGATCTACTTAAGAAATAAGATCAGAAATAAAATTACTCATTTACTCTTAATATAACGTGCCATATGATTTTCGTGTCAATGATAATAGCAAACTTTGGAAACGTAAATTATTGAACTCTCCGCAAGAAGTTAATTAAATAATGCTAATATATAAGCACAATGCTACCGCGTAATTGAAAAGTTTTACATCTATATAAATCTCTTATCCTTTATTTGGATAGGAAGAAAATTAAAGAAAAAAATACTGAAAGGAAAAATAGTTAAAAATAGTAAAATTTCAAAGTTACGTTTTCTTTCATAATATTCTCCCCAATTTTCCTTCCACTTTTCCATCTATCCAAACCAAATGTTGATGCACTTTCCTTTTTCGCTGATCCAACGAATTCAACCAAAGGATGCATTCTATAAAATGAAAATCTAAATTATTATATATAAAAATATATATTCAATTGTGTGGGGCCCAAGATCGGGTCCACTTACTTGTTTACAAAGGGAGAAAATGCTGCAAGGAAATTTGATACGTTCCAGTTAACTTTGATTTTGAGGGGATAACAATTTGGGACCAATAGATAAATTTAATTTAATTTTTTAGGATTAAGAAATTGCCAAATTGTAATTTTAGAAATGAGTGAGAACTGAAATTTAAAAAATATATATTCATATAATAAATTTAATAAGATGACTTAGATGAAGGATAAAAGAAATATTCTCTCTCTGGTCTGTAAATAAACTGAGTGAGAAATATAATAAGACTTTTCAGTCATTTTTTTTTGGACTTGATTATAATTTTTTTTAAAAAATATGTGGGACCCGCTATTTGTGATCTGTACTCTAAGGGGGTATTTGGCAATCTGAAGAAAAGTGATTTTGGGCTCCAAACTATAGTTTGAAACAGATAATATCTAAACACCCAGATTTTGCCCAAAACTTTGGTTTGACCCAAAACCAATGTTTTGCCTACCGGAACCTAGGTTTGCAAAGAAGCAATAATTTTTCTTTTTTGCAAGTGAAAAAAGGTGTCGTTGGAGTAATAATTACTCTTGTCGGAAGCTTTGCCCTTCAGTTGTTATTTTGTTTACTTGTGAATTCTTATAAAAAGAATCAACCCAGGCCATTCACGGATTTTTAGTGTATGTTGCTAATTTATTTTTGTGTTATCAAAGCTTAATTGCTAATCTAAACTGATTCATTTCTTTCGTTTTTGTTTGTGCGCAGAGCTAGCGAATCTCTCACTCTCAGGTGGGAATTCATTCTGATGCTCTTTAGAAGTGGTCATTTTCTTAATTATTTATTAATTACATTATTTATATATTATTTATTATGTTGGCCAAAAATATATTATTAACAAATTTATTACTTCAAATAAAAATATATTATAAAATATATCTTTTATGTAATTATCATATAAATTTATGTCTTTTTTAGTAATTTCTACATATAAAAAGTACTTTTGACAACAACTATCTAAATACTACTCCCTCCGTTCCTTATTATAAGAGACGAATAACCGAATTACGTTGATCAAAAAAGCAGTTAAAATTAGTTAAGAACAATCAATATAATTTTTTTTCCAAAAATGCCCTCATTAATAAGGAGAGAGAGCATGAAAGAGAATAATTAAATTATTGAAAGAAAGAGAAGTGAGAGGGAGAGAGAGTGTGAGTTGGAGACAATAAATATGGGTAAAATAGGAAATCAACACAAAAAAGTAGAGACAACTTTTAAGTGTCTCTTATATATAGGAACATGGCATAAGCATCAAATGTCTCTTATAATAAGAAACGGAGGGAGTATCATTTTATCAAAATCACTTTTTCATAAAATCTATTTTTTCAAAATCTATTTCAAAAAATAATTTTTTCTCAGAAACTATTTTTCAAACCATGGTTTTATCCAAACACCTTTTAAATGTTGGTCAAGAGTAAAGATAAGGTGAAGAGAAGCCTTTCCTATAATAATATATTAGTCAGTCAGAGTATGGATAAGACCAAATAAGGCTATGTGAGGATTCCCTCATTCCCTTCTGCTCATCACATTTTCATAAAAGATCTCATGTGCCATTTTATGTGGACATAAAAATTAGGAAAAATCCTAAAAAAAATATGTCTTGAATTTCAAAATCTTGGATCAGTTATTACTATAAATATTTGTTGTTATTTACTTGAAGTCAAGTGTAGTCAATTACTAACAAAACATATTAAATAAAACTAATTACTGGCAAAATAAACTAATTTGCAATTTTGAAAGTCAAGATATTTTTTTTTTGGATTTTCCACTTAAAATTATACATATTGAAGTTTAATGATTTAAGGTAGCGAAAATAAACAATTGATTGCAAAAAAAAAAAAGTAATTGGAGCAGCCATGAAAGGGAATCAGTTTCAATGCTCACTGTAATAATGAGAACCATGATGCTTATCGCTGTGGTGAAATCTAAACCATTCAGATATGGTTTTAATGGTGTAGATTTAAAATTTTTAACTATTACTTTTTAAATAAAATAAATTTAAAATAAATTTACGGTTAAGCTATTACCTTTATTTTGGATTATATACCTATTAATAAAAAATATTTTTAAAAAATATTAAATATTAAATCTCGACTGTCCATATTAAATTTAAAGAGTTGAGATTTGATGAGCATTATGATTCTTACAATTGCAATGAGCACTAAAACGATCACCGAATTAACTTTTGAAAAATCTCAATCTGCAATAAGCTCAATCTTATTGATGCCTCTGATTGGATATATGCACCTTGGGGTAGAGGTGGTAAAACGTCAAGGGCTTGGGACCATACAGGACCGCCTCTTGGCCGGCTCATCGTTTGCTAGCCCTCCCTGCCCCGCCAACCTTCATTCTTTTTTTGAAATTTTTTTACTCATATATTTAAAATTTTTTAAATTCAATTATAAATTTTTGCAGAAAAAATTCTTCTTATTCTTATATCTTCATATAATTATATAATTAAATTAATCTCAAAAGTTGAAATATAAACATATACTTTATTGTTAATAATTATTTTATCAGTATAAAAATAATAAAACAATAGAGAAAATAAGAAATCAAATTTAGAATTAAAGTCTCTAATAAAATACAAAGTTATATATAAATTAAGTGAAAATAATAAAAAATTTTCTTCTTAAAATTAAAATAAAAGTTGTAAAAAAATTGTAAAAAATAAGAAAACAGCTGGCGAGCTAACCCGCTCTGGTTGGCGGGCTATAAGTTGGCAACTACGGGCTGAACAGGACTGCATCAAAATAGTTTCTATTTTTTCAACCCAACCTATCACTTTATAGCGGGTTGACACAGACTCAACCTATATTACCGGCTCTACATATCATATGCAAATGTGCATAGCTGTGCAATCTCTGCACCTAGAGTTGTTGGCCGAATAAGTTGTGTAGATCTTCCACCATAAATTATGAAAAAACATAAGTAGTAAATTATCATAAGTCGACGTCAAAACTAAATTTAAAAGGTAATTGTGAAATCCTACAGCAAGACTAGACACGTTATCTATCAAACATTTGGTAGGATATATATATATATATATATATATATATATTGAACAATTCAACTTTTTGATACGTTTTACTTGTGTCGTTGCTGAAGTTCATCTCCGTAGTACTTTTTTTTAATTTAGGAAAAAAAAGGTCGTTTATTATATAGGAACAAATTAAACACTTGACATATTAGCACACCAAGATGCCGTAGAAAGTACACACACACACACACACAAAACTACATATATTATATTATCAGTGAGTGATGCACAATCAGGATATTATCCATGATCATAACATCAAATGTTAACACATAACTACCCCACATACCAGAATTACTCCTCTACGCGCGTACTGTGCGTGGTACAAGGACCATATATAGAATGTTAGACTTAATATTATTACGTACGCTTAATTTCATTCATCTATATACTCAATCTTGATACGTTCAATGGTAATTCGTCCCTTCCCAGCCTGGGGCACAAGAGTGACACCCACGCGTTTGTCATCATCGGCACCTAAATCCTCCAGTAACTCTGTAATCCCAAGTCTCAGATTAGTCTTCATGGTCAGCCTCTTGTGATGATGTGGCACGCTCACAAAACTCCCCGCGAACTCGGTAGTCATGGGCCCACCGGCCCCGCTGAATTCACCTTCGCGGTGCACATACACATCAAACTTCACTGGTGAATCGCTCGCAGAAAACTCGATCCCTTCAATCACTAACACCTCCTCCGTCATTTCCTTCTCCTTCTTACTCCTTCCCTTCTCTCTTTCCACAGTAATACTCACGGGGGAGCGTAAAACCAGAGGGAACTTTACCTTGCCTCCATCGAATTTTTTCCCTTGACTTTTCAAGAAGGTGCTCCTGGAACGTGTAGGCTTGGCATCAATCCATGGGATTCCAACATCCTTGTACGTGTAGCCTAGCTTTCCGGTGTCGAGGCAATCCTTGATTTTGACGCGTACAAGGTCCTTGTTCTCGTCGTAGAATAAGAACCCAGATTCCAACCAATCTGGGTCTCTGATGTCCCGTCTTTTTCCGCCCGGCAGAGTCTTCCAGATCTCCCACATTCGATCGACATTGGCATGATGGGAATAGAAGATGGGGTCTCTTGCGGCGGAATAGAAGCTTCCCATGTCCTCACCGTTGGGCTGGCAGTTATCACCGGTCCAATTATGCATCGTGTTGTGAGGAATGAGCTCTATGGTGCCTTCTCCATTATTGGGATCGCTCTGTCCTGCCCTGTAAGCCGCACCAAAGAATAGGGAAGGACGTTTCGCACCGCTCACCATTTGTTTGTACATTGTTTTGAGATTTGCATCCACTTGATCATCCCAGCTTCTCTGTGTAAAAGTGAAAAAATTTATGCACATGGGTGTAAATTTGTGAAATTAAAAATCATAAAAAGTTCAAATGAAATAGCTATGAGAACGGGATATAATAGTTCTACTTTAAATCACAATAAAACTCATACCTGGCATTCGCATCCACTACTGAAGTTAAAATCCGCAGGTGTTGGCGGTTGATGATCGGCGTTTCTGAGAGGGTCGTAAAGTGTCGAGTGAGGATCCGTGTATATTTCTGGAATCACCATGCCCGCTGGTGCATCCCAGTTCCAAAATGGCAGAGCGAAAGTGGGGTCATCGATCAAGCTGGACAATATTCTCTCATAGAAGTAGAGGAACCAACGATGGAAGGGAAAGAAGAGCCAAGAACCATGGACTTCAAGGTCCAAATCGGGAAACCCTACTTGGTGATAAGCACCATCACAGTAAGCACAGTGAACGTTTGCTTGTTGCATGAAGTTACGAGGATCGTCTGGTGGGAGTGCTTTCATGCGACGAACAGCTTCTCGGTATTTCTCTCTATAGCGTTCATCAACTAAATGGGCTGCTGGTCTGATCTTAAGCTTACGGGTTGCTGGAAATTCGAAGTCTTTTATGTATCGGGAGGGTGGGGGACAACAATTGGTTGGTTTAGCACATTTGTGGAGCTCCGGCGATACGCACTCTGCGACGTCCGGCGGCAAGATCGGGTTGGCGAAGGCAAATGGGTCATTGTGGTGAAGAGAACCGTAAAGGCCTCCCAACCCTAAGAGGAGGTTTCTTCTGGCAAGGTCAGGGGCGAGTACTTGACGGTGGGTTTTAGGGTTTTTGGAGTCGAAGTCATCATCGTCCGTTATGGCTTTGCATGCCACTGATCTGGAGGCACGGTTTGGAATCCTTACTAATTTGATGGCTTTAGGGTTGTTATTTCTGAAGGAGGGACGAGCAGAGACAAGTGAAGGGTGTAGGGAAGCCATGAATATCTCAGGAATTTTCTTGCTTGCAAGTTGCAACTGCGTGTTCCTGAACGGAATCTTATCAAACTTAAAAATGAATGGACATCGTCTAGTTTGTTGTCAAAAGATCTATAGGATTCAAGTTCTGACAAGGGAGGGACCAAAGATCCCATGCAATAGTTATCTGTATCAATAATTTAAAAAATATTGCATGGGACCAAATAGGAGATACTCCCTCCGTTCCTTATTATAAGAGACATTTGATGTTTATGGCATGTTCCTATATATAAGAGACACTTACAAGTTGTCTCTATTTTTTTGTGTTGATTTACTATTTTACCCATATTTATTATCTCCAACTCACACTCTCTCTCCCTCCCACTTCTCTTTCTTTTAATAATTTAATTGTTCTCTCTCATACTCTCTCTCCTTATTAATGAGGGCATCTTTGGAAAAAAAAAATATACTTTTTACACATTAATTGTTCTCAACTAATTTTAACTGTTTTTTTTATCAACGTATTTCGGTTATTTGTCTCTTATAATAAGGAACGAAGGGAGTATTAACAATACGTGCATTATTTATGACAACCAAAATAAAACTCATCAAAAAATGTGTATGTATTGAAGGGTCTCTGTTATGTTTATTATTTTCTTTGGTTTTTTCCTTTTGATTTGAGCAGATTTCATCAGTTTTAATTGAAACATTGAACGTGCACAGAATTCCATTTTTGAAAAACGCGGCTCCCTCTTTTTCAAATTGTCTTGTTTAAGTTGTTCTTTCTTGAAACTATACGACATGTTCAATTTTTGTCCCCATATTAAATGATTACGGGTATCGTGAATAGCGTGGAGATTGAGAGGCAACTTATATGAGAATTTTATATTATAATTTCACATAAATTAATGCAACGAAATCAATTAAATTATTTATTTCTTATAGAATATCACAATTACTTACAATAAAAGTCATTAGTTATAGAAATTTGGTTAACTTAGTTAGGAATTTATTAAGTTAGGTAGGAATACTATGTTAAAAAAAATTGATATTTTAAATAAAACATGTTATTAGAAATCCTAGCATATTAATATTTGTAAAGCGATATAGAAACCCTGATGTAACCTAATGCCTAATTGGGCTTTTCTCCTTCCAATTTCTTGGTTCTGCCATATACCTTTGCATAACATGTTCTGGCATATACTTCTTTATTTAAATATATGTTCCCTTTTTAGCTATATATATGTGGAGAGAGAAGGAGAGAGGGATATAGATATTATACCCAAACAATTTATATCGAGAAGGAAAAGAATAACGAAAGAAAATATATATGAAATAACGCAATTTCGATAACAATTTATCTCACGCTCTGTGAAATATACGAGAAAACATGTTTTGTTATTATATATAACATGTATGCTAAACACATGAACAACTATTCTTCTTCTTCTTCTTGGCCACGATGGAAGGTTGTTTAATTAGCTTGGTCAATGAAATAATATGTATATAGTTGGTCAACATATATGTACACTGCATCCTATACTTGATATGAGAGATAGATAACTAATTTAATTTGAAGATATTAAAAAGATTAGTTAAGTTAATTATTTATAATAAATGTGTATTAAAATTATCCCTTACCTTATGTTTGATATGACGGAATGAAGGGAAAGAGAGGGGAGAAAAAAATTTTAATGAACTCGATTTAAAAAATTAGAGAAATGAGGTTATAAAATTTTAATAAAAATAAGATGTAAGATAAAAGAGTAAAAAAAATTAATTAGAAGTTTTTAATCCCACTTTTTCAGTTTTTTTTTTTAAAAATCAAACTCATTAAAATGTTTCCTCCTTTTCCCTCCCCTCCATTTTCCCATAGCAAACAGACTCTTAGTGGGAATTTATTATAATCAATAAAGATATTTTAAAAAATATATAAAGTTGAAAAAAAATAAATTGAAATATTATATTCATAATTAAATTTATTTTTTAACTAACTTTTATATTAAATATAGGAGGTTCTATATTATATGAAAGTACTTCGCAATTACATCATCACTAGACACTAGCTAACTTGCATGTGACTCCGCGCATATCCAACGGTTTTATAGTTTTGTTTCCGGCGTCTTTCATTAAAAAAATAGAATAATGGGATGAGCGCATTGCTTCTAAAAAAGTTTTCTCTTTTGACCAAAACTTCTGAAAAAGTTACAACCACAAGCATTTGCAATCACCTAATTTGTGTTGTGCTATATATAAGTCCTATATAATATAACAAGTAATATATATTACAATTATATATGCACATAAACATTTCGTTAACCATTTTCATTTAAATTCATGATACATATAATTTTAGGTTATTATTAAAATGAGTCTTATATATTTCTGAAAACTTATGAATGAGGATAATGTCTTAATAAATGAACTTCATCTTAGATTTGGTAAAACTATAACTAGCTAGTTAGAGACCCACAATACGTGGGAAAACAGTATAACTTATAAAAGAAAACAAATTAAAGAATTAAAGAACAAAACAATAGTGTCCATTATATGCTATCATTGCCTCATAGATTATTTTTTCAAAAACATATTCATAGGAATTCGATCAATGAAATTAAAGGACCAAGACATTTGGTAGAACAAGTAGTTTGTGGGTATAGCTTAACTCTCTCATATACGCAGTAACTCATATTATTGGCGGTTAGACATAAACAGTAGACTCTCATACCTTAAGTATGTAATTAGGGGTATATAATGATTTATGAAAAAATCATATTTTAAATTAATTATATATATTAAAAAATTGTAAAGGAATATCAGATAAAATATCTCATTAGAATAACTGTTTTTAAGCATATTATTTAGAAGTGAATCAAGTAGCAGCATTACAGTAGGTAAATAAATATAATTATAAAATTTAGAATAATTATACATGGGGTTATTTACATATGTCTAATCGGTATTTAATATTTGGATGACTTATAAAATAAATGGATTTAGATTTTATTTATCAAAATAATAACCTAGTTATAAGAGGGGGGAAAACCACATCATTCCACATCATTGTCAGAGCCATTCTCATATGTTTTTCTCTCTCTTCCGTTTTGATGTGTGCCTCTCATCGTTGCGTATGGCTATTGCTAATATTCTTTGTAGTTTGTATCATTCAGTTCTCTTGTCTTCTTGCTTCTCGTCTTTCTTGTCTTGTCTTCTTCCTTCTTTTTTTTTGGGTGAGACTCTTCCTCCTTTTCTGTATCACATGCGAAGTACGTAGCTGTCGTTCCGTATTCCAACTGAAAAGCCAAACAAAGAAAAAACAATCCATCCTTTCAAACTTTGTTTTTATATATTCACGACTTGCACATGTTAACATTAAATTCCTACCATCTCAAGGTGATTTCTATCATCGACTAACAATATTACATTTTAATCAGAAATTTCTTGATGATCTCCACTGCTACTCAAGTAATATTGAGTTAGATTAGAATAATCAAGTATAAAAATTTGGGAATTTCAGGGAATTGAATTAGAGTTTAATATGTAATTAACTATTCTAATAAATTAATTAAGCTAAACACGCCTAAGAGATATATAGGGATTCAAAAGAGGAATTGATTTTTAGATGATAGCCTTTAAGAAAAGAAAGTAGATTTAGAGTAGTTTTAAAGTAATTTTAAAATAATTCGTTTAGTAATAATTGATAGATACTTACGTGTATGATCTTTGTGAATTAAAGTCTCATTAAGAACTTATCTTTGCATGTTTGGATGGGGATAACTCGTTTATCATTGTATGTAAGCTGAAGAGTAATAGATAATTTTGAATTTTCTTTCATATATTTGTAAACTATGTATAATGTACTATTGTTCACTATCTTGCAATAATGGTGCTAGTGGTAATCGCGCATTCTAATTTCTATGATAGGGCTACTCATCATGGAGTTTTTTTTCTTCTCCTGTCCCAGCTTTTTTCCAATCTGTTCCTTGGTGAGATTGATAAGATTAGAATGATATAAATAAATTGGTTTCAATTGGTAGGGTTAATAAATTATAAAGAAAATAGTTTATCCGGTTCTAAATATGAGGTTGATTTTATAATTCTGCGTTTGATCCTAAATATAATGTCATAATCCCTCTTGCCTCCCAACTGATTTTCTTCTCTCTTATTCTTTTATTTAATGAGGAATTTTCACCTCTACACATTGGATTTTATTTTATTTTTTTCTTTTGCAATCAAAGACAAAATGATGACATTCATAGCAAATAAGATTTTTAAAAGTTACAAATACTTAACAATCCTATTTTAGCAAAATTAAAGTTAAGAAAATAAGATTTAGAAATAACATCGATATTAAAGGACACGTGGGATTTTAATAATTCAATGACAATATGATTTTTCAAAGTGCCAAAAACTCTCCATGTATTGATCAAAATAGTATGTGGATAAGATGAATAGAAAACTTTCTACATTGGTCAGAGTATGGATAAGGTTAGACAAGGCTGTGCTCCTATTCGCTCATCCCCTTCCCCTCGTGACCCTATCATAAAGATATCACGTCTCATCTTGCGTGAACATGACAAATTATACATCTTGAAGTTTAATGATTTTAGCTGCAAAAAAATAAGGTAGCCAAAATAAACAACTAATGAAGAAAATCACTCGAAGCCACCATGGAAGATCACCAAATTAACTTCTGAGAAATCTTAGTCTGCAATAAGTTCGATCTTGATGCCTCTGATTGTGACTCGCCCTTTCCCATACCTCGGAACCAAAGTCACACGAACACTATCATCGTCCTCGGCTTCTAAATCCTCCAATAAATCACTCAACCCCAACCTTAAATTTGTAATAATCTTCTTGTTCTTGTGCTTGTGCGTGTGAGGCACGCTCACAAAACTTCCTGCGAACTCTGAGTTATCTGGCCTTATAACCTTATCATCTTCGTCATTAACGAACACATCAAACTTCACTGCTTCGTTTCTCTCAAACTCAATCCCTTCAATCACCAACACCTCCTCCTTCTC